ACAGCATGATGAGTACTTTTCGCTATCAACGACTGACGGTTGCAGGCAGGGTCTCCTTCGCTGCACCTCTTGCTGGGATGTGTTTCTCCACCTTCTCTCCGGGAAACACCTCAGTCGTCTCTCTTCCTTCCTTCCGTGCGTCCTTAGACAGACTCAACAACGCTTGTTCCCAAGCCCGGGCAGGACCCTGCAAGCCAACAAAGCCAAAAATATGGCAAGTTACCCTTTCGAGCAGCAGAAGAGTGGAAAACAACTAGTAAGCTGAACCTTCAGAATCCGGGGGATTGTGAGATCAAACACATATGTACGTATAGAGAATGGGAAAGGCTCGGAGAGTCATCATCGATTCACCATTGCCCATGATCCTCATCTTACCCGATATCAACTCGATTAAGAAGCATTGCAGTGTGGTCACTTTTACTTTTCTTTTCTTTTTTCTTTTTTTATAGGAAAAAGTTCGACAGAACCTTTAATATTATGTAATCGTATTATCACAATTCCTTATAGTATTAGAGTGACAAGTGAATCATGCTGGGCAACGTCAACTGCTCTCCAACAGGATCCGATCTAGACAGTCAAATCCAAACATGTCGACACACAACAGTAGAGAATCAGTGTTCAACACCCTACACATGGGCCCCTTCACCAAGTTCAACTACCACTAGGCAAACATGCACACGAGTACACACGAGGCAAACATGCACACGAGTACACACAAGTGCGTGTGCCTAACATGATAGTAACATCAGCGTGGGAAGACATTGCTCAATGGTCGCCTCTCTTTTCTCACTCACCCACCTTCCAGGAGAGGTCCTGCGACATGGCAGCCACGACCATGCGTCTGAAGTGAGGGGTCGAGAACACCTCAATTGCCCGCTTTAATCCCTTCACAGCCTTGATGACGTCCTCTGCTCCTCCTTCCGGCTGCCAAGCGGCCAATCAACAATCAAAACACAGCWTAAGTCAGCACTCAATCAGAACGATGACGGGCTGCAGTCCCAACCAGTCGGATGCGGCCATTCTTTGCAAAGATTATACACTCTAATAATAGTACAGCCCAGCACATCTTTCGTCAGATAGTGGGCCACATACACTTGAAATCGGATAATTGGTCACGGAGTGTATGCATCGATGGCAGTCTACCGACAGGTCCTCAAAAAACAGACACGCACCGTCCATTCTGAACACCATGGGGACAAAAAACAGCCCCCTCATTATATTCCGCAAGCCTAACCGATTCTTCCTTAGACATTTCGAACTCCTGAAGACATCGTGGGGACAAACAACAAGCGTCGCTAATTAAGAGAGGAGTTCCTAATTTACCCCACTAGCTAATCTCGAYGTCGCCGCTGAAAAAAAAAAGTCGCTCATCCATTTCCAGCGGCACCATCACAGCCACGAATTGAGCAAGTGAAACGTTACTGACCTTGACGCCGAACCTGCCCAGGTGCAGGCCGGTTACACCGTCGCGAACTGAGTCCAGAAAACCGCCTGTCGATGCAACAACTGGAATCTGCAAAACGATACACAACGTTCCGTCACTTCCCGAAAAAGGAAACCTCAACTGCAACCATTGTTCAAAAATATTATGTCTTCACTTCTTGATAGTCCGCATCAATAACTTTCAAAATGTCAAGTCAAGTATATATCTATATATGCACGTTATTTGTCGCATTCTGTTCTCTCCCCCCCCCCGGCCCCCCCCTTCCTCCTCCTCGCATTCTCTTAGCCATTTATGCAAGCTTCAGACCCATCATGGCAGGGCACATGTCAAGTCAAGTATATATTGTCACATTGTGAATCAGAGCGCAAAAAAGAGGAAAGAAAAAGGAAAAGGAAAAAAGGGGACGGGGAAGAGGTAAGGAAAGCTCCACCTGTTCCATATATATATATATATATTGTCACACTAGAAATCGGAGCGCAAAGGCGGAAAAAGACAAAACAAGAAAAAGAAAAAGAAGKAAGGAAAGCCCCACCTGTTCGTCACCTCTTACGTACAAGGCCAGCCACGTGGATGACAGGTTGAGCGCTGGCTGCCCCATCCCCGTGTGTCACAAGACCCACTTGCACGCAGCCAAAAGGCAAAGAGGTAAAGAAAGGGAGGAGGAAACCAAACCTGACAGGGAAAGAAAGAGATAGGGAAAGAAAGATAATCCAATTATCACAAAGCAAATAACACATCCCACAGATCAACGTATCTTCTTTTTTTCTTTTTTTCTCTTTTTTCTTTTTCTCTTTTTTTCTCCTTTTCTTTTCTTCTTTTTTTCTTTACCTGCCCCCACCTCGGCAGATAGGACAGCT